TCATAATACTCTAGCCAAAGAACAATCTGTTCTGGTGACATCCAGAATAAACGGGTAAGTCGATTTTCATTGTCCAGCTCGAACTCAACGGCCCATTGATGATCATATGATTTACATTCAAGGAGTGTCGTTAGCAGGCGCGATGCATCCAACTTTTCATCAGTATGAATTTTGAATCTTTGTATCGCATTCGAAAGATCATGATCAAGAATAGACTCATTTGGAAATTTTGCCTTCAACAGCCTTTTCTGAACACTGATTGATAGGTTTCCATTTTCGATAAGAAACTGAATTTCGGCAAGGACATCTTCAGGAATCTTTCGATATATTGGAGCGTAAGATTGTACATCGGGATATAGTGGATGATTGTGTATATCGGTAAAGGTCGTGAGAGTTATGATTGAGGCACTTCTTGGAGAGTTGATATTGGCATGCCATTCGCATCCTTGGCATTTTAATTTATGGTTGCGGTGGTCGTGAACATCAACCTTTTTTTTTGATTGACAGTGACCGCTGAATTCGCATCTGTAGCTACGATGTTTGATGTGACCCTCTGGATGTAGCTTTAATCTTTTTCGAGCAATACCAAATCCTCTCTGCTTGCCATAGTTTTTTATAACGCTATCAGCTTCTTTCTACAATTTGAAGATATAACCGACAGAGAGATTTGGTATGTCTATAGATAAAGGTAGATAGATAAAGTAAAAATTGAAGTAATCCGTCACACTCTTCTAATGTGTAATCTCACCTTCATTTTCAAAGTTCTGACAAACTTGATGGCTCAACTTAGGCTCTTCTAGTTCTATATTAGGAAAGCATTACTGCAACACTGCGAAAAAAAATGAGATTCATCAATGAGACTAAAGAATACCTTTATTCACGTCATTGTGGAGTACTTGATTGGAAATGGATTCTTTATTAAGAGTGGGGTCTATATTAGGAGTAGAAAACTTTTTGATTTTAATACATATATTCTTTATCATCATCTATAGACACTTGTTCAGATGCTTTTTTGTTTGTATTTCAGCTTTAGACTTTAATATAAAGGTAATCACGTATTACTGAGAGAAAAAATTAACATACTGTGAACCATAATATCGAGGGACATAGCAAAGGAATTGCTGTCTTGAATAGTTTTTGTTTGGATATTAGTTTCGCTATAATTTACTGGTTTATTGACACTTGAAACACATAATTCATACTTTGAATATGAAGTTCTGCTACTATTTTCAATAAAACTGGGCCTTGTTAC